GGTTTAAAAAAATAAAAATATTTTTTGGGCACCCTAAAGAGTTGGGCTTGAGGCAGCGGCCTCTGGGGCCTCTCCTTGGGTCCAGCTCTGGTGTTAATTACTAATAACTAGCTCGCCATCCCCAATTAAGGGAAAGAACAGAGGAAGGTTCGAAAAGGGGAAAGGACAGGCCAAGCAACTTCAACAATTTCAACGGTTGCATGCTTCTGATTGAACACTATTCACAATGAATATTGGAAAACGATTCATTTTTAAGGGGGTTTTGAATCCTTCTAGCATATCTTACCTTTGCTTTTAGCTCAAATAGTAATTTTAAAGTAGAATAGATAAAAGAAATTAGTGGTCCATTGTCATCAAGTGACAACTGAGCTAGTGATTACTTGCGTAATTGCATATTTTATTTATTTATTTTTTTTGTGCACAATTTTGTTCTTGATTATCACATTTCTTGACAGAAGAGTTGGTGTGTGACGTGAGTCGATGCTCAAAATCTTATTTGACTTGCTGAGAGTTTCTACAATGTTCGTATATTTATTTCAGAGGGATGTGCTTGGTGCATTGAATTGGGATCTAGTTGAAGCAATCGGAAATGTGATAAGTAACAGGCCACAACCTGAAGAAAATTAATGAAGTTGCTGCAATATACCTTCAACAGAAGAGTATACTATGGAAAAGAAAGATGACTGGAAAGACACGAGACTCTAATTCCCTCTACTTCACTCAATGTTCATTCATATCCCATCCCCACCCCTTACAAGTTTATTTATACCCTAATCCCCTACCGACTCTAACAAAATTGACTGTGACTCTTAACAAATTACTGACTCAGCATAAATCTAGAGGCCACTAATTTGCCCTGCTGTCAAGTGGATGGTTCCCTCTATGTGCTTGCTATGCCCCTTTGTTACGTCTTGTATATGTAAACTTAATTGGGGGTTTATCAAATACCCCTCCCAATGTAGTCACCTTGTCTACAAGGTGCCAAGAGGGGAATTGCTGGTTTATCAAGTCGAATGGTTCCCAAGTTGCTTCCATAGGAGACAGCCCCTTCCACTGAATCAAAACCTCCATAGCTTCAGTTGTTCCCTTTTTTGGCTACCTGAACCCCAAAACAATTTCTGGTTCCATGAGGAGTTCCCAATCCTCACCCAGCTGAAGGGGGAGGAAAGAGGTGACGGGAACATTTCCCACCACTTTTCTTAGTTGTGAAACATGAAAAACGGAGTGGACACGTGTATCAGCAGGTAGTGACAATCGGTAAGCCATTTTTCCCACCTTTGCCAGAATTTCAAACTGTCCATAGTACCTCGGGGCTAATTTTTCATTGTAGCGAGCCACTAGTGATCTGCGCCTATATGGCCTCATTTTCACATAAACACAATCTCCTGCCAGATATTCCACATTCCTTTTATGTTTGTGTGCTGATAATTTCGTTTGTTGTTGGGCCTTATGGAGATGCAGTTTTAGTTCATCCGAAACTCTGTCCCTTTCCTCCATCTGCTGTTCCAAAGCCTTGGCCAATCTCTCATTGCCACTACCTTGGATTCATCTGCTGCCACTCCAGTGGCTGAAATAATGTGCCATAAGTACTCCAATTCCTGCTGACCAAACCGACATTTCTTTTCATTTGCATATAACTGGTTGTCCGCAAGCACCTACAAGACCGTTTTGAGATGGTCCCTATGCTCCTCGACTGTGCGGTTGTACACAAGAATGTTATCAAAGAATACCAAAACGAACTTCCTAAGGCACCCTTTAAACACCTCATTCATGAGTGATTGGAAGGTTGCTGGGGCATTTGTCAGCCCAAAGGGCATGACAAGAAATTCATAATGCCCCTCGTGAGTTCTAAAGGCTATCTTTGGCACATCTTCCGGCCTTACCCTAATTTGGTGGTACCCAGACTTCAAATCTATCTTGGAGAATATGGTGGCTCCCCCGAGCTCATCTAGTAGCTCATCAATTACCGGTATCGAAAACTTATCGGGAACTGTAACCTTGTTCAACGCTCGGTAGTCCACACAAAACCTCAAACTCCCACCCTTTTTCCTAACTAATAGAACTGGGCTCGAGAATGGGCTAATACTTGGTTGAATCAGTCCTACCGCTAACATCTCTCGAACCAGCTTTTCAATCTCACTTTTCTGGAAGTGGGGTATCGATAGGGTCGCATACTTATCGGGGCTGTCCCAGGTTGTAGAAGAATAGCATGGTCGTGTCTTCTTGATGGGGGAAGACAGCTAGGCATCTGAAACATATGACTGAATTCTTTCAACACCTTTACGATTAGTTCTGGGGTTCTGAGCATTTCAGTTGAACCTGAACCGTGATGTTTCCCAATTCTAGCAGTGCCCCCTCACCTTGTGCCTTAAGTGCCTTTAACATCGACTTCGTAGACACTGAAGTTTTGTTCAGACTCGAATCTCCCTTCAGGACTACCCTTACGCCGACTGCAGTGAATACCATGGTTAGTGTTTGCCAATTAACTTGCATTTTCCCCAGTTTGCGCAACCATTGCATTCCCAGAATGACGTCTGAACTTCGTAACTCCCAACGGTAAAAAATATCCTCTATCATCACATTCTGGAGCTGTAACTTCACCTTTTTACAAATCCTTTCCTCTTTAACAGTCAGTCCAGTGCTCATAATGACCCCATACCCTGTAGTACTGGATAATGGAAGCCCCAGTTGCTGGACCACCGCTTCTGAGATGAAATTATGCGAAGCCCCATAGTCGATCAGCACGACCACTTCTCTGTCCCCAACCTTGCCTCGTATTTTCGTGGTTTCAGGGGTAGTAAGTCCTACCACCGAATTGATGGATAGTTCAACAAAAATCCCCACCCCTTCCATAACGCCACTCGCGTCTCTTGGGGATTGCTCGCAATAGTCTGAAAATTCTCGCCCCTCGAACCCATCGAAATCTCGCTCCTCCCTTCCCCCAGGACCATCTTCCTCATTTTCTCTTATGACCATTACCTGTAGTTCTTTATTCCTGCATCTATGCCCAATAGTAAACCTTTCATCACACTTATAGCACAATCCCTTCTCCCTCTTGGCCTGCAGCTCCGCATCCGTTAGTCGCTTGAAGGGGGTGGTGGATTTCGGTGAGTAGCTTGGCCGGACAGGAGCAAAATTGACGGGTACCGTCTGTCTCTGGAAGTTTATAGAAGTCTGGGAATTTGATGGGCTAAAACTCACGTGGTTCCCTTCGAATTTATTTGGGTTGGGCATGCTTGGCTGCCTTGGAGGATGGCATTTCTTTTTTCAACACGTTGGGCCACATTCATTATTTGCTCCAAGCCCACTGGATTTAGCATCTGGATCTCTGTCTTAATTCGTGGATTGAGCCCATTAACAAAATTGCACTCCAAAACTTCTTCTGCTGCAACGGTGAAGCTAGCTTCTCAAACTGCCGACGATACTCCTTGACCGTGGATGTTTGTCGGAGAGCCAAAAATTGGGGACACAATGACCCTTCCTGTGACGGACGGAATTGCTGCAACAGTCGCACCTTCAATTCATCCCAATTTCTCATGGGTCATCTTCGTTCTTCCCATTGATACCAAGCCAAGGCATCACCATCCAGATAGATTGCAGCTGCATCCCATTTCTCCCCTTCGACAGTTGATTGACAATGAAATAGCACTCGACCCGGAAGACCCACCCGTTCGGATCATCCCCGTCGAATACTGGCATGTCTAATCTTCTGATGCGAGTCTCAGTTTTCCCTTCACTTCCCAATACGCTCTCACTGCTTTGACCTCCCTTCGCACTCGCCTATGCTTCACCCAACACTGGAGATAAGTTCGAGGAGTTATCAGTGACCACACTTTTCTCTTTTCCTTCGCGATCCTGGGTGCCCAACGACCTCATCAGTACTTCGAATTTGCCCATCAACTCTTTCTGCAGTTGCATGAAGTCTTGCCTCATCGCGTCCATCCTGGACTAGATCGCTGCTTGGTTAGCAGCTGCTTGCTTTTCTATTACCTCCGTGTGGTCTGATAGAGTCATGGTTGTAGTGGTTGGATCAGGTGCTCTGATACCAATTTGATAAGAAATAGGCCACAACCTGAGGAAAATTAATGAAGTTGCTGCAATATACCTTCAACGTAAGAGTATACAATGGAAAAGAAAGATGACTGGAAAGACACGAGACTCTAATTCCCTCTACTTCACTCAATGTTCATTCATATCCCATCCCCACCCCTTACAAGTTTATTTATACCCTACCCCCCAACTGACTCTAACAAAATTGACTGTGACTCTTAACAAATTACTGACTCAGCATAATTCTAGAGGCTACTAATCTGCCCTGCTGTCAAGTGGTTGGTTCCCTCCATGTGCTTGCTTTGCCCTTTTGTTACGTCTTGTATATGTAAACTTAATTGGGGCTTTATCAAAATGATACCATGGATATTTGATTTTCTTCTTCCTGGATTTCTCCTTTAAAATCCTGATAGCATGCCATCTGAAACAGCATCAAAGTAACGCCATATACACATGCTTGATGAAATCAAGTTGAGAACAAATTAAATATTCTCTTATGTAAAAGGGAATTGTTGCGTCTTGTCAATAGTATAGTTTAATAAGAATGATAAATTGAACAGTAAAACTAAAAAGTCTGCGGAAAAGGTACAATCCCAGTTCTTTAGCTTGAAGATTTTAAAATGTCATTCGTTCAATATCCATTAAAAACCTGAACTACTATAAATGACTTATATTTGCAGCATGGAACTCCAGTGCTGAAACCCTAATCTTGCTAATCTGTACTAAGAGCCATTATTCTCAGTTATCTTATAGTATCAATCGAATAACTAGATTGCTTGTAACACAATTTATTGTTTTTTGTTATTATTTAAATGTATTTAACCACTCTGGATAGAAGCGGCTACTACATATATGCTTTCTACAATCTCATCACTGATAACTTACTCCGCAATCTGCATTGGGTCACATAGCTGAATTATATGCCTAAAGACGTATCTCAATTCTAACAGGTACTTCTATACGGAGATTGGATGTCTTATTGAAAACTTTAGTAACCATAGACATAATAATGGAAGCGTAGTGTTGCATGCTGATGACACTGCATACTCGCCATTACATTTCGGCACTGATAACTGTGGCAAAGGAAAATACAAATTGAGACCGGGCTGGCAGTTACATTTGTACATATCACAATTACCCTGTAGGTACTGAGGATCCTGTGCTAACTTTTCTATACTGCATCTCGCTCTGACCTTTGAAACTTTCTGCTTCTTGTTGTAGGTGGAGACACACCACTGAGTTCACAACTGTTTACTTCAGTTAGTCCTTTGGAACAAAGGGATATGCAACACCACTCTACAGAACTTGATTCTATAACCAAGGACTTTTCAGAATCTGCTGCAATGATGAACGGTAATATTGGGAAATTTAACCTACAACTACACCCTTGTATCCCTGCTGTTTCAATTTTGAATTCCATATCACTGAAGATATACCTCATTTTCCATCAGTTAGTTGATTTTGCTCTGTTCACTTTCTAGGGTCATATAGTTTATTGGATTTGTATTCCAGTTGTTGTACTGATATTCTTAGAATGCTACTTTTACGAACACAAATTGTTCGTAACGAGAAATAGAATTAGAATTAGAACAAATGAAGAGTGGGTTATTCAGGAACCCCGGACCTCGCAAAGTATTGGTTTTCCAGGAACCAATAAATTCTCAATTACAATTATTGTGTTTGTAGAAATAATTGTTTCACATCTTTCATTTACACTCTTTAAATAGAAATACAAGATACATAATATTCCACTAATTCCTAAGAAATAGAGACAGCTATCCACTTACACAAAGAATGCTCCTATAACTACATTGCCCCCTTCTAACCCTAATAATTCCTAAAATATAAAAATACTAAAAATAACTTTCTTAAAAAAGGAGAAGGTCGTGACATTCCTTCACCTTTGAATTGTAGATGCTTCAGTGAGTCAACCGTATCTTCTATCTCTGAATTTGGCACTTGGTCAACGAATGACTTCTCATGAGGACGCTTAAGCGTTGTTGCTTTATGTTTAAAACACATTGGCTTGCTAGAGTAAACTCTAGGAGCGATACCTAGCCCAACAACCTTGCTCGATGGACCAACCTTAGCTTCTACAAGGATCAAGTTTACTCCTTTTCCACATATAATGGTTCAAATGGCGTGTAGCATCATTTTTGTTTACCTTGCTCTTGGATTGATTTGTATTGGTTCTCAATTGTGATGTATCAACCTTTGTGTTGATCTTAATCAATTGTGCATCACAATTTGGTTTCTTAAGCCTATTTGTGTGAACTTTTCTTTACTCGCATGCCCGTGTGATAGAGTTTTTGATAAAAGTTTTGTAGATTTTGATAAAAATTGGAGTTATATTTTGTTAAAAAGTTGACAAAAATTGTGGATCTCATGAACGGAGGGTTAACATTGATTTGACTAGTTGTGATGTTGTCAATTTTTTATCAAACAAGGTGTCAGTTGAAGTTGCTCACCATGTACGTGTGACACAAATTGGTGGTTTGGTAATGAATTCAAGTTTGCATCGATATTTCATCCATTTTGCAAGAAAATTTCTTTACAAACTCATTTTGTTCAAGAATCATAGATTTCACCATACTCAATATAAGCTCAAGAGGCTGTTCCATTGTACAGAATTATTCCTTGCCTTCTTGCCCAACTTTGATACTAAATGATACTGATCACAAGTCTTCGTACCCAAAAATGAAAAATAAAAATAAGAAAAGACTAGTAGATTTATTTGAGAACAAAGGTGCTTTTAAGGGGGAGGAATTTTACGACATTCTCTTTCTTTAGAAAGTTATTTTTATATTGATTGAATATTATATATATGTTTATATTATAGTTCGGAAAGGTCAATGTAGTTATGGTTATAGAAGTTATAGGACCATTCTTTGTGTTGGTTAAGAGTTGAGTCTATTACTTAGGAATTAGTGAAATATCATGTATCTTGTATTTCTAGTGATAGAGTGTAAATAAATGAAAAAGGGGTCAATGAATAATTTTTCAAATGCATATTTAATTGACCAACTCTTTGTCAATTGTCGTCTTTTTTTTTTTTTTTCGAAACGATCAACTCGTGTTCATATCAATTGATATGAATGCTCTATGTTCGTTTCGAAAAATAAAAAATATAAGAAGAAAAATGATGAAGATTGGGTTAATTCAAGAAAACCCATACTCGAGTATTTGTAGTTTGAGGAACCAATAAACTCCCAAATTCGAAGACTGTTTGTAGAAATAAATCTTTCCACCTTTCATTTAATTTTTGATACATTTTTTAAATAGAAAAATACAAGATAACTCCCACTAATTCCTAAAATATAGAAACCACTAACACAATGAATGCTCTTATAATTCAGTTCAAACTAAAATAATACATAAAATTTTATTAAATAAATAACATAAATAAAAATTAAAGACTCATAACGTTCTTGCCCTTTCAAAACATGCAAGTCCTAAAAGTGATTTTCTCTAAAAGAAGTGCTCTCCTCTGTTCTCAATTTATAATTAAATCATAAAGGCATTATGAACTTCTTTTGAATCTGCACCTCTGAATTAAATCTATTTCATATCTCTAATATTGACACTTTATTATTGGAGGACTTTATGAAATTTGCAAGATGCAATTCTTGATACTTTGGCTCACGTTTCGATCCAAGAGAATGAACTCTTTTAGGGTTAAAATTTCCCCTTTTTTAGGCTTATGATGCTCAGACTCTTTAATTTGAGCAACATACTAGTATCGACATGTCATGACATGGGTATGGGTATAGACCCGCGTCGGATCCTTCAGCTTAGAACTGAAATGCAGAAACATGGAAGGGAGATCACCATGGGGGAAGCGGAAGCTTTAGGGAGAAAAAGAATTGGCTGACGATCTTTAAAGCAGCAGAATTGATTTTGAGGCATAAATCAATATTATAAGGCATGAAATCAAGTCAATTTAGTGCTACACTTCCTAATAAGATAAATCTAAAATTATTATTATGTAATATTCTAAAACATTTATGTTTGTAAGATGTACCCAGTACCCGCGTCCAAATCCTGGATCATTTTTAGTTGTATATCCGAATCCTAAGTTTTAAAATAAAAAGGATCCGACTCCTCTATATGTACCCGTATCCGACACCTATACCTGAGTTTGGGCAATATAATTTCAAGCAAAGATACTTTTTTCTTGTTAGACTTAGGATTGGAAGAGGCGCTGCACTGGATTTAATTGGGACGGATGTTTGACCTTTTAACTGCATTATTTTTTCACCCATTATGCTCATCTTGTAAGTTTTACTAATTTTTACCTTTGTTGATGATAATACCCCACCAGTGTTGCCAAATAATTTAGTGCACACTTTCACATGTTGCTGACTTATAACTTTAGTACTTTGGGATGTAATGGTGCTAGTCAATGAATTGTTTTCATCTTGTCCAAAAAATTTGTTATTGTGGCTGCTTGGTGATGGGTTTAATTTTGCATCCAACATCTTCGATATCTCATTCATCTTGCATGAAATTTTTTTGACAAACTCTTTTTGTTCGAAACTCATTGTTTTCACCATGGTTTATATGTTCTTGAGTCGTTGCTCCATTTCTTTGTTGCCCATACCAAACGTGACGAACACAAAATTGTTCATAACAAGAAAATCAAAATAGAAGGAGAAAAGATGAAGAGTGGGTTAATTTGAGGAAAGCAGGACCTCCCAAAATGTTTTTGAGGAACCAATAAAATCCAAAATACAACACTATGTTTTTAGAAATAATTCTTTCCACCTTTCATTTAATTTCCTTTACACTTTTTAATAAGAAAAATACAAGATAACTCCTATTGATCCCTAAAATATAGAAACCACTGAACACTAACACAAAGAATGCTCCTATGACTCTCATAGTTCAAACTAAAATAATAATAACATTAAGAAATAAATAACATAAATAAAAATTAAAGATTCATAACAGCTACCAGATCTGTTCACCGTAACATTGAAGTATCTTGCTTAGATCCCACCTCCACCCCATGTACTTCATGCATGGATCAGTTAGTAATACTAGCAGTGGGCTGAGTGCAGCCAGTTTTAGTTTTTTCTTTTAAACGTGTCCTTATTTAATAGTTTCTGATTTATACTCGTTTTAATGCAGTTACACATAATCATTTTACTTGTGGAATGTGGATAACTTGACACCTCTATTTCTTATTTACATATTAGATGCAGCTATGCAGGTGAGGAATTACTAGGGAATTTTTTTTGAAATTCTGAGTTCTTAATATCACATACTCTGTGCTTATTGATCCAGTGCCAATGCACCAAGGACAAGCATAAGAATGGCATATTAAGTTTGTAGCTAGTTCTTCAATAATCATCTGGTATCAACTATAACTAGGCAGTGGACAATTTTCCTTAGTCTGGTTCTGCTCCCTTCAGTGGAGGAAAGTACATGGGGAAAACCATTTGAAGTTCACCAGAAATATCTTCTTTAATCAGTATTCTTGTCACTGGAGAAAAATGGGAAAGAATGTGTGGAAAAATCATGTAGAAGTTCTTCAAGAATTCCATTTATCCAGAAAGTTCAAGAAATAACATTTCTGCTGATTGATTTGTTTTATTTTATTTTATGAGAAAACAAAAGAACAAACGTGGTTGTATTGGAATAAAATGGCTGTTAATTCACCAAATATCACCATCAGTATGTCAAGTAAGAACATACTTTAGCAGATAACATGGCTGACTTGTCAGAGGCTTGCTAACTTGTTCAAAATGCCAACTGTTGAGCGTATCTTGATTACTGAAATAACTGACGACTAATGTGCACGAAACATTGTTCACTTCATGATTGTTTCAAGCCCTTTAAATCTTAATCCTTCAGCCAAGACAAAGATCTGTATAAGCACTAGACATTTACCCTGTTCTCGAAGTTTTAACTGCAAATGAAGTGTTTTATAAGATGAGGTATGATGGCCATGAACGTTCACACACAAAAAGTCTATATGGTTAATGAGCTTTGAGGTTATTTTTATCCGTATAATTACTGTTTTGATGGCAGTCTTTAAGTTCTTATAATAGCTGGATATTTGGTGTCACAAATTTCTGGTTTTGTTTGTTAAATATGAAAGTTATTGTTGGACTTTTGTGGGCACATCTTAGGGCTATAAATATCTGCCCATTCATTTTTCTTTTCTAAATGTTTTCTGGTATAATGATATATCCATCAAGAAGAACTTTAATAATCTTTTTTTTCTCCTCGATGTTTATGTTTGTCGAAACTCTTAACAGTCCATCTGTATTTGATACTCTTAATATATTCTAACTTTCGAAGGAAAGAATGGTTTGTTAATTGTTAATTTATTTGATGTTCAAAATTGCTTCTCAAAATATTAGTCTTCAGGCGATTGTTCTCAAGTTCCTGGCACTGTTCAGAGGAAGCCCGGTCGAGGAGAAACAACTTTGTCAGTGAGCTGCTCTGACAAGATTGCTCGCTGGAATGTTGTTGGGGTTCAAGGTTCCTTGACTTACTCTCTATCACATTCTTTAATCCTTTCCTTGAACAAATGGAAAGACTTATCGCTGTAACCTGTCATAGATATCTTTTGAGCATGTCTAGAATTTTGCGTCACCTGTGATCCTGGACCGTGTAGGTACTATAGAGGCTGTAACAATTCTCTGTTACCTTAAGCTTTTACTATTTATTATGATCATCAAATTATGAGCAAATAAGAAAACCATATGAAGATTGTTACTGAATAGCACAGCCTGAAATTTCACTAAATCTGGTGAATTCATGAATTGAATGTCTCTACGCGAAACAAGTTAATTTTTTTTTCTTTTACTGGGATCATCTTTAAAAGTCCATGAACTCTCATGGTCCCCATCTTTTTCTGTTACATGTTTTGGGACTTGCATTGTCTGTGCTGGTTCGCTTTGTATGTGAAAATGGAATTGTTTATTTGTCAAATATCTATTATCATTTGTGCATAAGTAGCTAATTGACAATTTCACACAGAAAAAAAATTAATTCAATCGTGAACTTTTTTGATAAAATATGTTATACAGATTCAGATTGTCTGACATGAATTGTTTCTTTCTATGCAGGAGCTCTGCTTTCATATTTCCTGGAACCAGTTTACATTTCTTCTATAACCACTGGTCGGTCTCATTTTGGTTCTGAAGATTTTCTAATGGTTGATCAACTGAGAAGATCTTTATACAATCGAATTCTACTGTTGTCAAAAGAATTGATGAACCCTTTTCAAGTTAATAAGGTTGTAATTTGCAGATTTTCTTCTTGCATTTTGGCCATGTAACATAATACTGATCCATCTGAACAAATTGTCCTTTTTGCATTTTTACAGCCACTCTTTTTGGTAGCTCCAATACCACCCAAGGAATTCCAACATTCTGAGACTGCTCTCACAACCTTAACTTGCGGGTGGGCTTTGTTTAATATGACCCTTTATTCATGAAAATGAGCATATTATAATAAGATGTCTTCTCTGAAGTTCTGTTATCCTTATATTTGCAGGTATTCAATATGCTGGAATAGGTCCGGCTTGCACGAAGTCATTCTTGGAACAACTGGTAGGAAGCAGGGTACCTCTGCAAAAGGTGCAATGTATCCTTCTACCCAGTCATCATTATGCAAGTAAGAAAACCTTCTCTTTCCTAAATTTCACAATTTAAGCTTTTGGGTAGTCCAACACACCCTATTTTTGTCTTCAGGAGGCGTTTATTGGAGTTGTTTGTATCACTCAAGCATGAGAATTTGTTGGATTGCTCAGTTGGCGAGATTATTTATCGAGAACTCAAGGTAAATGACTTTTGAGTACTATCCGCCTGTTTGGTTTGAATAAAAATTAGATTTTTAGTAGATTTTGATTAAAATTAGTAAAACTATGGCTGAAAAGTTGATGAAAGTTGTGGGTCTCATAAAATATGTGATTGAAAATGAATTAGGGGAAAAATAAGTTTTAAGAAATTGGGGCCAAACAGTGGCTATAAATGGTCACCAAAGAATTTTTAATATACTGACGTAATGTGTAGATTCACCTATAATGTCTAACAAAGAAAGAATGAACTCCAGTATAAAATAATTGAGAAGATGTTTGCGTCTTTTCTTTTAGAACCTAGTAGTCGGTTTCTTGAATGCATCTGTGGGTACACATATGGCCCTTGTTTGATGGCTATTATTTTGAGAAAATAGATTTTTGAATAGTAATTTTTCGAAGAATGTGTGGTTAAAAAGTAAGAGAAAGTTTTGAGTATACGTGCAAAATATTTTATTGTGTAAATGTGTAATTGAAAATGAGTATGGGAATTTAAGAGTGTTGAAATAATGATTGTCAAACAGGGGCTTATGTACTCCCCCTTTCTCTATGGATGTGCGTGTGTAGATTAATTTCTATTATTTGATGCAGCATAAATGGAGTTATACTGGTACTTGTATTGTACTTCCAACAGGCAGAACAGTACTCAGCTAGTATTTTATTTATAACTATGCTTGTAAGGCTTTCAATAAACTGATAATGTCCCAGATTCTGATCTTTCCTCCCAACCTACTGTTCCTATGGGTGGTGCAGATTAATATCATAATTATAGACGAATTCCATCTCTGTAATTGTTAAAGAATGAGTTTTTGTTTTATGGATATGAGAAAAAAAAAATTAAATTTGGCTTTCATCCATCTTAACATTATAATTATATAATTTTTATTTGTATCTGGATGTGAAGTATCACTGAGAAATAAATAGTTGAAGTGCAGTTCTAAACAAAAATAATTTCATGCTGAAATTTAGTTTTTTCTAGCTTTTCCAAGTTGTTACCTTGTTCAGAAAAATGTATCGAATTTTTTTAGTCTATTTAAACAACTGTATTCAATAGCAATTTATTTCATTTCAAAAGTAAATAATTTCTCTTTTAATGATCTCTTGCAGGATAGAGCTGAAGAATACAGTGCTACTTCAAAGGCCTTTAAAGCAAGCCCACATTTTAGAAACTGGATTTTGAAACCTCAAAATTCTGAGTCCTTCTCACACAAGGGTCTTTGAATATTCGATTTGTATTTATTTTGATATCAAAAGATAATTCTACAGCATTGATACGAATTTGAGAAGCAAAAAATGTGAAAACTACTATGGTTGGTTGATGTAGGATAGGAGAAGGCAGCAAGAATGGGAAAAGAAATTGGAGAGAAAAGGGAGAACCGGATAAGAGAAAGGGAAGAGGAGAGAATCAGGGAAAGGGAAAATTTCGTTGGGTGCAAACCAAAACCGTTTTCATTTCATATAATCATTGTCTACTACACTACAATGAAAAATTCAATAAATAGTAAAAATATAATTCACTAGTATTGGGCTTGGGCGAACTCACTAATACAAACTCAATAACAATAAAATGTAAATAATAAAAAATTTTATAAAAATGATGTTTGCATCAACTCTTTCGGGGTGGGAGAAAACTTGACTTCGTCAAGTGAATAAACTTCTACCATGAGGGACGATCTTTCGTAAGAATCAAATATTGAAACTTAACAAATGATGCCAAAGCTAGTTGCAAATTATCCTCAAGAATATGATGTGACCATCGTGACCTAGGCGTAGGAAGATCTTGCTTACTCATATAAAGTTCGAATAAATTTGGATCATGCTGCTGAAGTTTTTTTTAGAGAATCCACAGACAATTAGAATCAGGTGGGTCAACTCAACAAACAAGTAAGTATTGAATTTCGTCATCATTGGTCAATACAACATGTTCATCGAAAATAACATCAATTGTATCTTTGTGTGCTGTGACATACGATATTGAAGTATAAATATCAATATAGACAAGTTGGGGGTCCACAGTGTAACGCCCCAAAAATTTCACAAACATTGGAGTGTTACCAAAATTTCAATTTCCTAGCTGAACGATAAGATAATATTTTTGAAATAAAAAAATAACTGGAATATTCATAATTTCAAACATGAAAACATAACCACAAATTTAATAATTGTTTTCAAACAAATAAAACTAACCAATAGTTTAAAAGTAAAAAAAAAATATATTTAATGTTTTATCTCTTCAATTCCTCTTGGCAGTCGCATTAACCATCTTGCCACTGTTCTAATCGACCTGAACTAACTTGTAAAATTTTGTAAGAGAGTATTTAAAAAACAATACCCAATAAGATACGTGCAATTTCCATACACAATTATATAATAATAAAATAAATACTTCATATTACTCTTTTTTTTTGGAGTATATTGGTGACCAAGCGACACACCCATCTTAGGTCATCTTAAATTCCTGTAGGATCTCATATCTTTTAATAAAGAACCCGAAGGTCCACTAGCAATTCATGCATAAATTATTGAATATAAAAGTATAAGGAAACAAACAATTTGCATAAAAATATCTTACCTTGAATGATCAAACGAGTTTTTGAAAAAAATATACTAGAAATTTACAGCTATTTTATATGAAAGCTGCCGTGTAAAATTCTTTGATAGTGAATTATGGGACAATTACACACTATTTATAGTAAAAAAAAAAAATATATAGTGGTTGAGTCTTGGTACAATTGGATGGAAAAATAGTATTTATCAAATTAGATAAGAATTGAATTTTGAGTAAACAAATCATATTATGACGTGCAAATAATACTTATCACAACAAAAGGTGATTCTAATCCCAATACGTGGTAATGATGACAACTTTTGAATTCAAATAAAATTCTAATCAAATAGAAAAAAAATCTCACATGCATTCCCTAGATACATGTGGCTACCTCTCATCCAAATTCATTTTGATTTTAAAAAAATAAACAAATTACAATTTATTTGAACTTCAGTATCTTGAAACTAACTTATCCGAATTAACTTTTTCTCGAACCTAATTTACATGATTAATTACGAGCTATCCAACGAGCCCTATATTGATATATTTTTCGTCATTTTAACAATATCTAAATATTTAGCCCAAAATTTGATATTAACACGCATATCACTTTAGTCTCTCAACTTTTCAAAATAACAAAATATAGTGTGTAAAATACTTAAATTTATTCTAAATTTTTGGGGCGTTACAATCTCTCTCATTTAAAAAATTTTGTCCTCGAAATTACTTTCACTACTTAAAAAGTTCTAAATACTTGATCATCGATATAATTGTAATATATCATAACATAAATCAAGAAAACTCATAATCATAATAAAAGAACGACATTTCATTTCATACCTTGGGAACAACTGGAGAGTGGTCAAATAGTGAGCGCTACGTGCCAAAGATTCTTTATAACC